CAATACGTAGATGCTCCCATTTATGCTTCCAATGCTTCTTTTCAGTTCTTTACCCAAGTCCATTTTTCATACTACCACGTTTTCATGCATTGCAATTCGAAACTCGAGAATCTTTTCATTCACCACTGCCACTTCTACTTCATCTATCTCCACCAATCCTTTCACCATCATCAAATCACACAAGCATGTACTCTTCCACTACCTCAATAATCGAACTTTAGACCAAGCTCGTGCCTTTTTCGATCAAATCCCTTCCCCCCATGTTTCCCTCTACACCATAATGCTCCATTCTTACGCTAGCAACCACAGACTCCACGAAGCTATCCACCTCTTTCGTCAAATTCCCTTCAAGGATGTCGTTTCCTGGAACTCCATGATTAAGGGGTGTCTACATTGCGGCGACATTGTCACCGCCAGGAAGCTGTTCGACGAAATGCCGCACCGAACCGTTGTGTCGTGGACCACCCTCGTCGATGGGTTACTGCGCTTTGGAGTTGTCGAGGAGGCTGAAGCCTTGTTCTGGGCAATGGACCCTATGGACAGGGATGTGGCTGCGTGGAATGCAATGATTCATGGGTATTGTGGTAATGGTAGAGTTGATGATGCTTTGCGATTGTTCCGCCAAATGCCTTCTAAGGATGTGATTTCTTGGAGTTCTATCATTGCTGGGCTTGATCACAATGGTGAGAGTGAACAAGCATTGGTTGTTTTTCGCGACATGGTGGCTTCTGGTGTGTGTCCATCTTCTGTTGGCTTGGTTTGTGGGCTGTCTGCTGCTGCTAAGATACTGGCTTTTCACGTGGGGATTCAAATTCATTGCTCTGCGCTCAAGCTGGGTGACTGGCGTTTTGATGAATTTGTTTCTGCTTCACTGGTTACGTTTTATAGTTGTTGCAAACAGATTGAATCTGCGTGCTGGGTTTTTTGTGAGGCACTTTGTAAGAATGTGGTGGTTTGGACAGCTCTATTGACGGGGTATGGTTTCAATGATAAGCATCTATAGGCGTTGGATGTGTTTAGTGAAATGATGAGAATTGGTGTGATTCCCAATGAGTCTTCCTTCACCAGTGCTTTGAATTCTTGTTGTGGATTGGAGGATCTTGAGAGGGGTAAAGTGATCCATGCTGAGGTGGTTAAGATGGGTTTGGAAAGTGGTGGATATGTGGGAGGTTCTCTTGTTGTTATGTATAGTAAATGTGGTTATGTCAGTGATGCAGTTTCTGTGTTTAAGGGGATTAATGAGAAGAGTGTTGTCTCGTGGAACACGGTCATTGTTGGTTGTGCACAGCATGGATGTGGCATGTGGGTTCTAGCATTCTTTAATCAAATGCTGCGTCAAAGAGTTGATCCAGATGGAATCACATTAACCGGTTTGCTTTCTGCCTGTAGTCGCTCTGGTATGTTACAGAAAGCAAGGTGCATCTTCAGATACTTTGGCCAGGAAAGTTCAGTTACACTTACGATTGAACACTATGCAAGCATGGTGGATGTGCTTGGTCGGTGTGGAGAGCTTGATGAAGCAGAAGCACTGGTGATGAGCATGCCAATGAAAGCAAATTTAATGGTATGGCTGGCTTTACTGAGTGCATGCAGGAAGCACTCCAATTTAGATGTAGCTGAAAGAGCTGCAAATCGGATATTTGAAATGGAACCTGATTGTAGTGCTGCGTATGTATTGCTATCAAACTTGTATGCTTCTTCGAGCAGATGGGCTGAAGTAGCTTTGATACGTAAAAAAATGAAACATAATGGAATTGTGAAACAACCAGGATCCAGTTGGCTAACCTTAAAAGGACAAAAGCACAAATTTCTCTCTGCAGATAGTTCACATCCTCTTACTGTGAAAATTTATCAAAAGCTAGAGTGGTTATGAGTGAAGTTAAAAGAATTAGGTTATGTTCCAGATCAACAATTCGCTTTGCATGATGTGGAAACTGAGCAAAAAGAAGAAATGTTGTCTTATCATAGTGAAAGGCTTGCGATTGCATTTGCGCTGCTTAGCACTGTGGAAGGCAGTACAATAACAGTGATGAAAAATCTACGTGTATGTGGGGATTGTCATTCTGCAATAAAGCTTATGACCCACATTGTTGACCGTGAGATTGTAGTACGAGATTCTAGCCGCTTTCATCATTTTAAGAATGGCATATGTTCCTGTGGAGATTATTGGTAGGACATTGTTCGTGAAAAAGAGTCTAATTTATTACCCACACGGCATCACACTTCTTAAAAACCGGGGAAGAAAAAAACTATGAATGTGAGTAACTATTTGTTTGCTCTGCACTACAGATCCTTAGTAAAGATAACGAAGGGGGAAGAGAAATTGTGAGCAAATGAAATGAGTATCCTAGTTGAAGTCCACACAATCAATAAGGAAAAATAAAGGACAAAAAAAATTGTCCTATGAGCTTTAATTGAAAATATTGATATAATTTTTTTAATTGAAAAAGAAGACTTCAACTAAATCTTTGAGAACATTAAATGATACTGAATTCACTCTATTTATAAAAGAAAACATCCTTGTCCCTTTAAGTTATGCCTTTTAGGAGCATGTGCCAGGAAGGACCTTGAACAACACCCAACCTTGCAAGTTTGTGAAAGTTAACTTTAGAACAAAGTTGACATTGATTTCATCCGTTCGAGGTCTTTTCGTGGGAAGTGTCCACCTTTTCCCTTTATGCGATATCGATCACTATAGAGGGTGTTGTTCATNGAAGGCAGTACAATAACAGTGATGAAAAATCTACGTGTATGTGGGGATTGTCATTCTGCAATAAAGCTTATGACCCACATTGTTGACCGTGAGATTGTAGTACGAGATTCTAGCCGCTTTCATCATTTTAAGAATGGCATATGTTCCTGTGGAGATTATTGGTAGGACATTGTTCGTGAAAAAGAGTCTAATTTATTACCCACACGGCATCACACTTCTTAAAAACCGGGGAAGAAAAAAACTATGAATGTGAGTAACTATTTGTTTGCTCTGCACTACAGATCCTTAGTAAAGATAACGAAGGGGGAAGAGAAATTGTGAGCAAATGAAATGAGTATCCTAGTTGAAGTCCACACAATCAATAAGGAAAAATAAAGGACAAAAAAAATTGTCCTATGAGCTTTAATTGAAAATATTGATATAATTTTTTTAATTGAAAAAGAAGACTTCAACTAAATCTTTGAGAACATTAAATGATACTGAATTCACTCTATTTATAAAAGAAAACATCCTTGTCCCTTTAAGTTATGCCTTTTAGGAGCATGTGCCAGGAAGGACCTTGAACAACACCCAACCTTGCAAGTTTGTGAAAGTTAACTTTAGAACAAAGTTGACATTGATTTCATCCGTTCGAGGTCTTTTCGTGGGAAGTGTCCACCTTTTCCCTTTATGCGATATCGATCACTATAGAGGGTGTTGTTCATGTGAGCTGCACATGACTTTTGTAAGAATCTCTATAATCGTTTTTCTCTTGGAAAGTGTACACTTTGATGGTGCTATTTAGTGATCAGTAACTTAAATCTTTGCATATATTTTATGGTAGCGTTACATAGGGTGCTATAGTAATTTTTTCTAAAGTTATTTTGAAATTTTCATGGCTTTTCTACAATGGCAAATAGTTTTCATTTCCTCTTTCTGTGTATCTTCCTTTTTCACCTCCATGGCTGGTCTAACTGAAAATATCCCAATATGAAACAACTTCTGGACCTTCCCACCAAAATGAACAAGATCAACATCTACAATTTTGGTCATTTTTGGTGCCATATGATTCTACCCTTGAATAAAAAACTTAAGCATAAAAGAAAACAGATAATTAGCGTGACAAAGATGCTTGGATGTTGAGATTCCTTACCTGAAATCTCAGATTTTCATGGCCTTTTTCTTGATTTTGTCATCATAGAGTTCCACCTATTGCAACACTTTAAGTCAATAAAAATTTCACAACTTATAGGATATATTATTGTTATAACTTAAAAGCAAGCCATTCTCTAATTTTTAGTATCTAAATAATACATAAGGATAGCAAAACTCTTCAAATTTTGCAGATCATTCGCAATATGAGGATGGCGATTGTTTCTTTTCTTTCCATAGTTTGCTTTGATTTTCACTATTAGGTGGCATGCATTTCATGTTGATTTAGGCTTAATTTTTCAATTTCTCTTTTTGAGACATTCTCATGCTTTTAATCTTCTTTTTGGTTACTTACATATGTAATGAGTTTAAATATAACGTTGAACGAGTTCATTTCTTCTCCACGAGAAATTAAGTCAAATTATATAAATAAAATAAATTTCGCTTTATAAAATTGAATTAAATTTAAAATCATTTAAATATGTGATTAAATATGTTTATTTTAAGATTTTTTATGTCAATCTTTGTATAATAGAAGTTAAAATATGCGTTTGTTTTTAGTATTATTTCAAAAAAATATTTTATTAATAAAAGTATTTGGTTTTGGTATCATTTAAAAAAAATTATTAATAAAAGTATTTTATGTATATAAATTGATGTTCGTATCTTATCAGTAAAACTTTATTTATATCCTACCACTTTTATCCTAGAAAAACGCAGATGTAACATACTTTCATGTTCTTTAATAAAAAAATTGTTTATCAGTTTCTTAATTCGTACATTAAGACTATAATTTATTGGTGAAAAGTATGAAACGAAATGATAATATATTGTTCTGTTTGGATGGCAAAATAAGAACGAAGAATAATAATGAAAAGCAGTATAACTTGTTTTATCCTCTATTGTTTATTTTATATTTCCTTAAATTATTTTTTCATTTCTTTCCATCATATCAACTAACTAATACAATCCAGAGTGAATTAATTAAAAATGATTGAGATTAAGCAAAATTAATATTTTTTAAACATGCAGTGACAGTTAATTAACTACAATAAGAAAACAATTGTATGACGTTGGTGGATGCCAACAAATTTTGACATGAAATGATGAAAGAACATATCACAAACCTTCCTTATATCTCATTCTCTCTTGTGGATTTCAAATTCACCTCTTTCGATTCATTCATTCACAGCTATTTTTATTCTCTTCTTTTTTCTCTGTAATCTATCTTTGCACTCTCAATTATTAGTTTCTCTCTCTTCTTTTCATTTTCTTTACTTTCCCTCGTGTCACCTCAAGAACATAATTCGTTTAGTGCAAACGTTCTTATTAGTCTTTCAAAAAAAAATCTGAACACCCAGAAATCCGACATTTTTTCACCCTTTGACGACCATTTGCATTCGTTGTAACCGAGGATATATCAAGTTTAAGGTTGCTGATTTGTGGCTCTGGTTTCGGTACTTTTTTTATGAACATTATGTTTTTTTGGTTGAATTTTTGGGAGTTTCTTCACTTGAAAAATTAAAAAAATGAGGTAACAGGTTACCCCATTGTTGTCGTTTATTTATTATTTATTTGTTGCGAATGAATGATTTACGTAAATGCTTGCAAAAATCTAATTATAATGTAAGAAAGTTCAATATTTAACACGCAGAGGAGAGAACAATGGTGATGTCTGCATATAATACCAAAATTTGCTTCTTTTCTAATTCTTGCTTTTGATGCTTGATGTTTCTATCTTCCCCTCCTTTCTCCTGAAGATTAATCTGAGGGGTAATTCTGTTGATGACGTTAGTTATTCAAATACTGGTTTTGATTTAAAATTATTATGGGGGGAATTAGAAGAAAGTCATGTTATAATAGGATTTCGTATGGCTTTTGTTTTGTGAGTCTATGACGAGATCTTTCTTTCTTTCTTTCAGGTTCTTTATTAGCTTGGCTGCTATTACAGGAGTTGCAGTTTGAACTATTGCTGGCTTTAAAGGTGGCAATGAGTGATAATCGGTCAGAACTTGGAAGGCCTGCCTCAAGTATGCAATGATTCTTAATTTTATGCTCTCGTGTGTTTAACTGTTTTATCTTTATTAAAGTCCATATAAACTTAAATTTATATGTATTATAAAAGCATAAGAAAAACTAACAGAAAAAAGATATTTTGATCGTTTAACAGCTATATTATAATAATAATAATAATATGAATGGATGATTGATGAGTTAGATGAAGTTGTAATCTGGGTGTATATTTAACTAGGATTGTTGATTTAAAAAAGGCAAAAACAAAACTGGAACGGGTACAAAGTTTTACAAATACAAATCATCTAAATGCAGTTTGAATACCAAGCTTATGCCTGTCCTCTTTTTTCAAATCCTTGATGCAAAATAAGCCTTTAAATAAATAGCCTTTTAGGTTGGACAAAGAAGAAAAACGAACAGGCTTATTTCTTATAATAGATTGAACTCAAGCTTCTTTTATGTTTGAAACATGGCTTCTTCGAAGAGAAACACCATAAATATTTGATACCAATGAATTATGAACAAATCTGCATAGGAGAACAAAACAAACTCACTTATTCTTATTTCCATGTCTAATTGTGAAAGTAAAGTTATTTTCTTGAGAAGTTGAACGATTGGCAGGTCTCTTACAGGTAAAAGAAGGTTGAAGGATTTATTGCTTCAAAAAGATAATCGTTTTTGTGCTGATTGTAATGCTCCAGATCCTCAATGGGCGTAAGTATATTCACCTATGCACCTTTACTTTTTCTTAAGTGGTTTATGGTCATGATCACTGATTATAATACTCAAAACTGGAGTCCTAATGTTGACTATTTTCTGGAAGGATTTATTAAGATCCTTGTGACTAAGTTATACGAAACTAACTACATGAATTTTGCTAAAATAGAAAAATGTGGGATGCGTATTACCTCCTAATTGTGAATCATTTTTCTAATTGCTTCTTCAGATCAGCGAATATTGGAGTTTTTATATNCATAGTGAAAGGCTTGCGATTGCATTTGCGCTGCTTAGCACTGTGGAAGGCAGTACAATAACAGTGATGAAAAATCTACGTGTATGTGGGGATTGTCATTCTGCAATAAAGCTTATGACCCACATTGTTGACCGTGAGATTGTAGTACGAGATTCTAGCCGCTTTCATCATTTTAAGAATGGCATATGTTCCTGTGGAGATTATTGGTAGGACATTGTTCGTGAAAAAGAGTCTAATTTATTACCCACACGGCATCACACTTCTTAAAAACCGGGGAAGAAAAAAACTATGAATGTGAGTAACTATTTGTTTGCTCTGCACTACAGATCCTTAGTAAAGATAACGAAGGGGGAAGAGAAAATGTGAGCAAATGAAATGAGTATCCTAGTTGAAGTCCACACAATCAATAAGGAAAAATAAAGGACAAAAAAAATTGTCCTATGAGCTTTAATTGAAAATATTGATATAATTATTTTAATTGAAAAAGAAGACTTCAACTAAATCTTTGAGAACAATAAATGATACTGAATTCACTCTAATTATAAAAGAAAACATCCTTGTCCCTTTAAGTTATGCCTTTTAGGAGCATGTGCCAGGAAGGACCTTGAACAACACCCAACCTTGCAAGTTTGTGAAAGTTAACTTTAGAACAAAGTTGACATTGATTTCATCCGTTCGAGGTCTTTTCGTGGGAAGTGTCCACCTTTTCCCTTTATGCGATATCGATCACTATAGAGGGTGTTGTTCATATGAGCTGCACATGACTTTTGTAAGAATCTCTATAATCGCTTTTCTCTTGGAAAGTGTACACTTTGATGGTGCTATTTAGTGATCAGTAACTTAAATCTTTGCATATATTTTATGGTAGCGTTACATAGGGTGCTATAGTAATTTTTTCTAAGTTATTTTGAAATTTTCATGGCTTTTCTACAATGGAAAATAGTTTTCGTTTCCTCTTTCTGTGTATCTTCCTTTTTCACCTCCATGACTGGTCTAACTGAAAATATCCCAATATGAAACAACTTCTGGACCTTCCCACCAAAATGAACAAGATCAACATCTACAATTTTGGTCATTTTTGGTGCCATATGATTCTACCCTTGAATAAAAAACTTAAGCATAAAAGAAAACAGATAATTAGCGTGACAAAGATGCTTGGATGTTGAGATTCCTTACCTGAAATCTCAGATTTTCATGGCCTTTTTCTTGATTTTGTCATCATAGAGTTCCACCTATTGCAACACTTTAAGTCAATAAAAATTGCACAACTTATAGGATATATTATTGTTATAACTTAAAAGCAAGCCAGTCTCTAATTTTTAGTATCTAAATAATACATAAGGAAAGCAAAACTCTTCAAATTTTGCAGATCATTCGCAATATGAGGATGGCGATTGTTTCATTTCTTTCCATAGTTTGCTTTGATTTTCACTATTAGGTGGCATGCATTTCATGTTGATTTAGGCTTAATTTTTCAATTTCTCTTTTTGAGACATTCTCATGCTTTTAATCTTCTTTTTGGTTACTTACATATGTAATGAGTTTAAATATAACGTTGAACGAGTTCATTTCTTCTCCACGAGAAATTAAGTCAAATTATATAAATAAAATAAATTTCGCTTTATAAAATTGAATTAAATTTAAAATCATTTAAATGTGATTAAATATGTTTATTTTAAGATTTTTTATGTCAATCTTTGTATAATAGAAGTTAAAATATGCGTTTGTTTTTAGTATTATTTCAAAAAAATATTTTATTAATAAAAGTATTTGGTTTTGGTATCATTTAAAAAAAATTATTAATAAAAGTATTTTATGTATATAAATTGATGTTCGTATCTTATCAGTAAAACTTTATTTATATCCTACCACTTTTATCCTAGAAAAACGCAGATGTAACATACTTTCATGTTCTTTAATAAAAAAATTGTTTATCAGTTTCTTAATTCGTACATTAAGACTATAATTTATTGGTGAAAAGTATGAAACGAAATGATAATATATTGTTCTGTTTGGATGGCAAAATAAGAACGAAGAATAATAATGAAAAGCAGTATAACTTGTTTTATCCTCTATTGTTTATTTTATATTTCCTTAAATTATTTTTTCATTTCTTTCCATCATATCAACTAACTAATACAATCCAGAGTGAATTAATTAAAAATGATTGAGATTAAGCAAAATTAATATTTTTTAAACATGCAGTGACAGTTAATTAACTACAATAAGAAAACAATTGTATGACGTTGGTGGATGCCAACAAATTTTGACATGAAATGATGAAAGAACATATCACAAACCTTCCTTATATCTCATTCTCTCTTGTGGATTTCAAATTCACCTCTTTCGATTCATTCATTCACAGCTATTTTTATTCTCTTCTTTTTTCTCTGTAATCTATCTTTGCACTCTCAATTATTAGTTTCTCTCTCTTCTTTTCATTTTCTTTACTTTCCCTCGTGTCACCTCAAGAACATAATTCGTTTAGTGCAAACGTTCTTATTAGTCTTTCAAAAAAAAATCTGAACACCCAGAAATCCGACATTTTTTCACCCTTTGACGACCATTTGCATTCGTTGTAACCGAGGATATATCAAGTTTAAGGTTGCTGATTTGTGGCTCTGGTTTCGGTACTTTTTTTATGAACATTATGTTTTTTTGGTTGAATTTTTGGGAGTTTCTTCACTTGAAAAATTAAAAAAATGAGGTAACAGGTTACCCCATTGTTGTCGTTTATTTATTATTTATTTGTTGCGAATGAATGATTTACGTAAATGCTTGCAAAAATCTAATTATAATGTAAGAAAGTTCAATATTTAACACGCAGAGGAGAGAACAATGGTGATGTCTGCATATAATACCAAAATTTGCTTCTTTTCTAATTCTTGCTTTTGATGCTTGATGTTTCTATCTTCCCCTCCTTTCTCCTGAAGATTAATCTGAGGGGTAATTCTGTTGATGACGTTAGTTATTCAAATACTGGTTTTGATTTAAAATTATTATGGGGGGAATTAGAAGAAAGTCATGTTATAATAGGATTTCGTATGGCTTTTGTTTTGTGAGTCTATGACGAGATCTTTCTTTCTTTCTTTCAGGTTCTTTATTAGCTTGGCTGCTATTACAGGAGTTGCAGTTTGAACTATTGCTGGCTTTAAAGGTGGCAATGAGTGATAATCGGTCAGAACTTGGAAGGCCTGCCTCAAGTATGCAATGATTCTTAATTTTATGCTCTCGTGTGTTTAACTGTTTTATCTTTATTAAAGTCCATATAAACTTAAATTTATATGTATTATAAAAGCATAAGAAAAACTAACAGAAAAAAGATATTTTGATCGTTTAACAGCTATATTATAATAATAATAATAATATGAATGGATGATTGATGAGTTAGATGAAGTTGTAATCTGGGTGTATATTTAACTAGGATTGTTGATTTAAAAAAGGCAAAAACAAAACTGGAACGGGTACAAAGTTTTACAAATACAAATCATCTAAATGCAGTTTGAATACCAAGCTTATGCCTGTCCTCTTTTTTCAAATCCTTGATGCAAAATAAGCCTTTAAATAAATAGCCTTTTAGGTTGGACAAAGAAGAAAAACGAACAGGCTTATTTCTTATAATAGATTGAACTCAAGCTTCTTTTATGTTTGAAACATGGCTTCTTCGAAGAGAAACACCATAAATATTTGATACCAATGAATTATGAACAAATCTGCATAGGAGAACAAAACAAACTCACTTATTCTTATTTCCATGTCTAATTGTGAAAGTAAAGTTATTTTCTTGAGAAGTTGAACGATTGGCAGGTCTCTTACAGGTAAAAGAAGGTTGAAGGATTTATTGCTTCAAAAAGATAATCGTTTTTGTGCTGATTGTAATGCTCCAGATCCTCAATGGGCGTAAGTATATTCACCTATGCACCTTTACTTTTTCTTAAGTGGTTTATGGTCATGATCACTGTTTATAATACTCAAAACTGGAGTCTTAATGTTGACTATTTTCTGGAAGGATTTATTAAGATCCTTGTGACTAAGTTATACGAAACTAACTACATGAATTTTGCTAAAATAGAAAAATGTGGGATGCGTATTACCTCCTAATTGTGAATCATTTTTCTAATTGCTTCTTCAGATCAGCGAATATTGGAGTTTTTATATGCTTAAAATGCTGCGGTGTGCACAGAAGTCTTGGTGCTCATGTATCAAAGGTAAACTGTTCCTGACCCACTTATTTAAGAAAGAAGGTTTTCGTTTCAATGTGCTACTACTATGTGATGTATCTGTAATAATAACTATTCTTTCTGTTATATCTGTTATCAAATGAAGAGTAGTAGGAGTGGAACATATTTATTTTTATAGATAAATTATTACAGGGTACCTTTTCGCATGTCTTTTTATGAAATGTGAAGCTTCAATTTAGTGTTGCTTTTCTCCTCTACCAATGGACTATGCTGTTTAAGTTTCTCTTGGCCTTCATTGTCATACATGCTTAGTTTTTTCACAATTTTCTGACATGATCTAAAATAATATGTGGAAAACTAGGTCTTTTTTAATTCTGAATTTGTCCAAATTTATACATGATGCAAGTGAAATTTTATATCAAAGATAAGATAACCAACCAACTTACAGGTACAGGTTCTATCTGTAATAATAAGAAGTGAGAAATGAATCTCTGTAACTCTTGACTAAGAAGTAAACTTCCTATTTTGATGACGTGCCTAAGCCACTGAGGCAAGGTGCAT